GAAATGGTGAACACATTTTTTTAAGAAAAATAAAAGACAGTTCAAAGCCAAGGAAAATCAGGAAATGTGCTCCACAAAAGTATGTTTTCTTGGACAGATTGTTGCAGAGCTTTGACTGCAAACACTCAGCTTTGAGATCTCAATAAGCATTTCAATGCATAGAAAAAAGTCAGAGATGTAGATGGGAAAGAAGCCATGAGGAGCCTTACAAGTAGTCGGTAAAGTCTATTATAAAACATACTGGGAGTTGGTTTAAAGTGGCTGAAACAGGAGTAATGTGTTCATGTCTGTTGGGTAAAATCCTGAATCCAGCGAAGGTCTTTTGGTCTGATGTTGCCTGAGACCTACAGAAACACCTCAGGGCAGTAACAGTTCTTCACTTTTTCTTCTGCAATCGTTTGTTCTCTGCACCTTTTTCTGTTCAGCAGTACATTTTGCCTAGAAATGTGGCTGTGCTTTTCAGTAATTTGGCCAAGCAGACATGGAAACTGTCCTCAGGAGACCTGGAGCTGTAAAATCTACTGCACAAGTTGTACTTTTATGGTCATTTAACTCTACTACCGACTCCGCCGGTAATAAAGGATGAATCTAGCAGAGTTTACGAGACCACGAATGCAGCACAGTCCTCTAAATCATCTACTGCACAGTTCACTAACAATCTGAACTCAGCATGACAGAAACAAGGCCATTTATGTTTCACCACCTTCACTTCCCTATTTACTCTCCCTGCAAACACTCATTTCCCTTTCTCCCCTCTCCCTTCCTTATCGCTCGGTGTTACATTTCCCACATTCAAGGGCTGCTGAGGCAAAAACAGGAGGAAGTGGTTTCCCTCCTTCGCATTATTCCTCCCCCCCCTCCGTCTTCCTCGGCATCCTTCGGGCTGCTGGTTTGATAACAAGCTGTCACAACCATTTAGCGTTTTCTCAGAAAGTGCCTGCTGCCCCTGCAGGGCCGCTGTGCTGCTGGTGGGCAGCAAAATGACAATTGCATTTGAAGGCAAACAGAAAGACGTCTCTGGAGAAAGGGTGCGAAGTGGGAGAGAAAAGAGCATTCCCTCTCCCCCACATTTCCCCCGTCCTGTGATTGGACAGTGATTGTTATATGTGGACCTCATTGCGGTCCACTAAAGGGCAGACGCATAAACCAATAGTGTAATTACGCGACCCGAGGGAGGAGAGGCAGAGCTGCCGGGGTCTCCTGGTGTTATTAAATAAACTTTTTCTTCCTGTAGCATTTGTTTTGCCCATTTGACTGGATCTGAACTGACACTGACCTAAATTCTTCACCGTCAGACAGACAGACAGGAAAGCAGTCGAGGGAGCTGTCAGGGCAGCGGAGGGAACAGAAAGGACAGAGGTTCACTCACTGTCAGGAAAAACAACTTCAGTCAACACAACAAATCGATTCCTCTCGACTTTACGCCTAAAAGCCTGACTGTTCATCTGCACGAGTGTCTGCAGAAATACTCAGGATAGTGAGAAACAACTGCAGCAAATTAAAAATCTAAAGCAAACTTTTGAAATGCTGCAAAAAAGAAAAAAGAAAAAAAAGAAACTGAAAATGAGGCTTGTTTCTATCAACGGCATAGCGGTGTCAGTAAGTGTTGCTACAGACTACATGACTGTAGTAAACAGTAAAAGCAGCCAGAAACTAAACCAGAAGGAACAAACAAAGGGAGAAAAATGGAGAGAAATCTTCAGATATCAGCTGATATTGGACATTATTCATGTTGTATGGAGACGAAAATGATGAAACAAACAGTTGATCAGTCACGTGAGTTAAATGTCTGCTTTATGCAAACTTATTACCACTGCCAAGGAGGTTATGTTTTAGCAGGCGTTTATCTGTTTGCTTGTTTGTTTGTTTGTTTGTTAGCAAGATAACTGTAAAAGTTAGAAAAGGATTTTCATGAAATTTTCAGGAAATGTTGATAATGGCACAATGAACAGATAGTTAAATTTTGGTGATGTTCTGTTTTGCTGTCTGGTTTTATTCTCGTAAAACAGTAAATGCTGTTGGGGCGCCGCTATAGTTGACCGGGTTGAGCGTCCCATGTACAGGGCTACAGTCCCCATGGGGGGAGGTCATGAGTTCGAATCCCGCTCATGGCCCTTTCCCACACGTCCTTCTCCCCCACTTTCCTGTCTTTCTCTCACTGCACTGTCAAATAAAGGCACAAAGGCTAAAAAAATAACTTAAAAATAAAAAAAAATCAGTAAATGCTGTTAAGTGTCACAGTTGTGCAGAATGTTGTCGTTGCACCGTTTGTCCACTAGATGGAGCTCTGACTCCCTTCAGTCCTCACTGCTGTTTTCTCAGTAGTACAGGAGGAAGCTACAGCCAGGCAGCATTACAGGAGTGGGCTGAGTGGAGCTCCTGACAGATAAGTTCATAACGACGTTGTGACATTAACAATGACTCAACATGTGTCCTGTTTCACTTTAACTCTCTTTGCCATGTGTCATGATGACTGACGCATGCTTCGTTGCGTTGGTCATGCTTTTCATTTATGTTGCATCTAATACAACACTAAAAAAATGTATTCAAAATCTGTTACAAAAAAAAACAAACTTGGCTACAGAGTATATAAAGACCCTCAAACCCAAAACTGGTACAATCTGCATCTTTCCTGGAAATTATCATTTGGAAGGAACTCAATCATCAATAAAAGCATCTAGAGAACATTTTTTTTTTATTTTGCAAAATTGAGGACTAAAAAAAAGACACTTCCATTAACTTTTTCTACTAAATGTGCATTAAAATATTTTATTGATTGATCACTAGGGTTAGATTAATTCGATTGATTAACTATCCGTCCATTTATTACCTATACATCGCTTAATCCAGAGGACCCCCTTGACAGGTCACCAGTCTATCGCAGGGCTACACTTCGAGACAGACAACCAAGAACACTCACATTCACACCTACAGACAATTTAGAATCACCAATTAACCTCAACATGTTTTTGGACTGTGTGGGAGGAAGAACCTGGAGAGAACCCACGCTGCACGGGGAGAACATGCAAACTCCATGCAGAAAGACATGAATGAACGACCTTCTTCCTGCGAGGCAAGGATGCTAACAGCGAGCCACCTTTCAGTCCTTTGATTAACTAGAGTAATTAATAATTATTGATTACTGAGTAATCCTGTGACACCACGTGTCCATGCACATCTCCTGCGTTGACCCGCTCGCTTGTTCGTTAGGTTTTCACTGAGTCTATTTTATTCAGTTTAAGTTCTATGGCACCAATTCACATCATAAATCCCTGTTCCCATGGGACTATTTCTATCTAGGAGCACTCGTGTAATTTCAAATGTTTGTTCAATGCAGCACATTCACTGAATGAAAGCGAAGTCTGTGATTTACTCAAATTTACTGACATCATTCCCACATATTAGACAACAGATGCGGCGCTGTTGAAAGACAGCAAAATGTTTCTCACTGCAGGCTGTCATGTGCGTCATCCATTTAATTCTTCTGTAACCTTGTTCTGATGGATTTGAGATTTCTGTGAATAAGTGAATTTGCTGTGCAGTGACACGAGCGTCATGGATTTGCATCCAAAATGTTTCAAGTTTTTATTTATAATTGACAGCAACAGTCTCCAGAGATGTTGAGTGATAAAGAGGCAGAAGAAAAATGAGAAGGAAACACATAAATGGAATGAATTTTACTTTACAAATTACTGACATTACAGGTTTGTACGGGACTAAGATCACGGACCATCTCAGTAGTTACAAATGTCCAGGTTATTGTGGTTTGAATCCAGAAAAAAAAGGAGAAAATCTGGTGAGATAACAGTGATCTGTGGAGTTTTACCACGGTAACCATGTAAAAACACTGAGAGCGACTGCGAAAAGAAAACACTGCAACAGGCGACTTTCCACTGCAGGAACTCAGGGGAGGTTCGAGGTGGCATGAACCCTTTCAGCCTCAGTGTTGGATCAACAGCCTCAACCTCAAAATTATGTCTGAAAACAGCAAGAAATAGAAGCTGCTGAACTTAATTCCCAGTCTATGGAGGGAACAGAACAGTAGAGGTTTGTCATGGTAAGATGCCAGAGAAGAGAACACTGCAGTTTGCCTAAAATCTGCTCTGACATGTCCAGGTTGCCCAAAAAGGTCTAAAATTTCCACGACATGAATACTATACGCATACTTTGTGACAGAAAATAATGTACCAAGACAGTGTGCTACAAATGAAGCTGCAGAGTGTTTTGTGCAACAGATCATCAATAATCAGATGGTTCTTGACTCTGAAGCTTTGCAGCAGCTTTGGGAACCAGATGTAACAGCCAGCATGCTGGATCCATCCGCAGCATCACGGCTCTGCCCTGAACCCACTGACAGACTGACTCTGAGCAGCTTTAATCAGCAGCACATTCACATGTCAGCCGTATAGGTGCAACCAGGAGTCATTTATGACCCCCTCCTTCCATTTCCTCTTATGTAATACAAAGTGAGCTCCGGCTGATTAGCTGTTACTTAACGCGGACTGTGGAACAGCGTGGATCGGTGCAGCAGGACCACTCTCTCCCTCCTCGGACCACACCCATCTCCAAACTCGGCCTTCATCGCGGTCTCACCTGTAAAGTTACATGACTGCGTCCCGCACGGCCGTGACGCGCACGGACACACGCGCAAACACCTGCCAAAGTGCTCCAAACCGCCTGCGTGCTCGCTCCTGCTGCGCTACGTGTCTCCAGCAGCGCAGACACACACAACAGCAGAACAGCAGCTTCAACATCGCTGCAAAACAAAAACAAGAACAAAAAGCAAACACCCGCAATCAGCCAAACTACAGAATCCACAAACCCCCAGCTGACCGCAGAATCCGCTCCAGAGCCACTTCATGTTACAAAGACACGAGTGGATCTGGTGCAACAGTTGTCTGGTCTCCTCACACACAAAGCGCATCTGCAGAAGCTGCGCGGCGGTTTGAACTCAAATCTGCGGCAAAAAAACAGCGCTGCGCAGCCGGAAAGTTTCTCACCTGAGATGCCTCCTCCGACCACTATCACATCGTAGGTGTTGCTGGGTGCAGTCATGGTGCTTTGTGCTGTTCGTCTCCCCGCTCTGCCGTGAACGCAGGGCGCACGGAGGAGCGCATCTGTATTAAAAGCGCCGGCCAGGCCCACCGCGCGCAGACTCCGCCCACGGATAGTAGCACAGTGTGGAGGCAGGATTACGAGGAAGTGTCGTGACCCTGCACCCACTCTGTTTTCACCTTATTCAGATGCGTTATTCGGATTTGCAGCACCTTAAGGACGCGGACTTTGCGCATGGTTATGTCCTCTTGTGTGCACCAAAGCGCACACCTTTGATCCACTGCAGCAAATGTTACAGACTGTTACAATTTAAATATATGGCAAATAATGGAGTTTTGATTTGTCCTCAAGAGTAAAATAATCTCATAAAAAGTAATTCAGTGGATATCAGTGTTGCCTTTATTATGCCATCTCAGCATGATAAAGATGCAGCTGATAAAGTGATAAAAAAAATGATACCAAAACAATTTAAAAAAAAGTCTCTACAGATCCATAACATGCAGTAAAAATCGACACAGAGGTGCTGAGTTAGTCTTGTCTTCTGATTCTAACACAGTATTGTTCATTTACAGTCCAGACTCTGCACAGGCTAACTCACAGGATCTAAATATACCTTGCACATTTAATATAAAACCCTCCTGGACACTGACTGGCTTCATATTCTGTAGATTCTGTTGCCCTCTGGTGGTTGGTTAAAGCTAACCTGGTCTGGTGTTACACTGAAGACTCCATCAGTACGATTTCCATCCACAGTTTAAGTCCAGCACACAGGAATTATGGACAAAATGTGCCAAACGGGGCCTCTCAACTATTTGTTTAATAGTCAACCATAAAGCTATGCCTGAATCCTTCCTGGGCTTTGGATCGTAAGAATCTGATAGATAAGATATAACTTTATGATTCCTGAATGAAACTCTGCTGCCAGATATTTCTGAGAATGGAAAATCAGCACTGGCAATGATACAGAAGTAATAAAGTCATGTTGCAACAGTGTAGTAAATGTGTAGTAAATATAAAGTGTGAAAGGAGTATAAGCAAACAGCAGTGACTTACAAAGAAGTAAAGAAAACTAGAGTAGAAAAGAAACAAGTGCTGGCAATGACACTGAAATAATACAGTCATGTTATAGATGATACTGAAATAATGCACATGATGAAAATGATACTCGACAAAATAATGAGAAATATGTACTGTGTCATATTGTAGTGTTATAACATACTAAACTATATACTCAATTACAGTTTACTATAGGATACTATTGTGCACAATGCCTTAATGTACTATACTATAATACACTATACTATACATTACAGACTATATCATTACTGTATTATACACAATACTACACTGCACTACACTATGCTATACTGTACTCTACTTTCTACTATAATGTACTAAACTAAACTACACTATTCTGTAATGTCCTACACTATACTACAATACACTACAATGTGCTGCAGAACACTCTACAACACAATGCTGTACTACACAATACTATGCTATGCTATACTAGCAATGCTCTACAATGCCATGCTATGCTATGCTATACTACGCAATGCTATGCTATACTACGCAATGCTATGCTATACTACGCAATGCTATATTAGCAATGCTATACTAGCAATGCTATACTATGCTATACTCGCTTCCAGAATGAGACATAAGAACTTCATCAATCAACTTGGTTATTTTGTCACTTAATTTACTCTAATGTTTTTTTTTTTCTTTTATTCATATTTTCAAACGTATTCGTTAGTTTAATTTGTTATTGACATTCTCAGCAGTCCTGAGTGATGGAAGGTAGGATGGAAATTCTATGTTTTACTGATTTGGTTTCTGTGGTCTTTTCATTATTTCATACGTCAGCTTTTCATTCTTTCATGTGAACATTTGTCTCTCAGGCAAACCAAGCCCAGTCCACCTTTTCCTCTCTGCTTAGAGGCATATGAGAATTAAACCTCCCTCTGAGATCGAGGGTGATCTTAGGATCCGTCTTGTCTTAGGAACTCATTTATACCAAAAGCTGTTACAATAAATAACTGATGGCCTCTCGCTCTTCGTGAATTCGCTGTTTGCAGCATTTCCACAGCAGAAAATGTGCTCTGAGATGTGACTTACAAACACATTTCTGATGCAGATTTTCAGGTGGATTGGCATTAAATTAAGGATCTCCTTGTGGGTTAATCTGACCATGATTTTTTGTATTTTTTCTATTTACAGTAAAGTACTGGCAGCAGAGACGGCAGCAACATACTGCGATTTTACAGTTTCTATACTGGTGACCATTTTCACAGCCTGTTAATTTACATGAATATTCTGAGGTTACTTAAAATTTCACGGTTTGCTGTAGACAGGCATAATACAGTGACTCAGCATTTTAGAATATCTAAAATCTTAATATTCATCCATCCATCCATTATCTGTGCACTGCTTAATCCTCACTAGGGTTGCGGGGGTTGGAGTCTGTCCCAGCCTCCCCGAAAGACGCTGGCTGATAATCTCCTGGAGTGGACAAGGCCCTATGTCTGTGCCCCACCAGCAAAGAGGAGGACAGTCTGTGAGGACAAACCGTCAAAAAACGTTGCCTCAGTGAGATTTACACTGATGCCTCAGAGATCTTCTCACCACCCAGCAAAAGGAGAAGGCTCTCTGATGATGTGACGCCTCACAGTGGAATCTCCACGGCTGTCACAGCCTCAGACTTCTCCTTCTAAGTCAACAAGACACCTGTCAAAGCAGCTGAGACCAAAGTCTGGCTCATCGGGTCCAGGGGGAAGAGGCAGCCAGACGAGAGTTTGGGGAAAATCTTGGCCTTAACACCAAGGTCTATTGGTTCGGTAAGGGTGGCCTGAGATGGAGCGGCATCATTTCCTGTTTCTACACTGAGCAGGCCACGCAGACTCCCCCTGACATTTTGGTGGTCCACGCCAGAGGGAACGATCTGGGGCTCGCGTCTCCGAGGGATCATGCCACCACCATTAAGGAAGACCTGGTGCACCTCCACAATGCTTTCCCCTATATGGCCATTGTCTTTTTCCTCCATCAATGAAAGTAAGGCCTGGAGATATGGGGACGCTGTAAGCATCAATCATGACTGTGAAATTGTCAATGGGTGCATCAAAGAGTCTGACTTACTGAGCACCCTTCCCTAAGACACTTTAAAAAAGTGTTTCTTCCAGATGGGGTGCACTTTAACCGGAAAGGAAACAGAATCTTCCTTGATGAACCTCCAGAATGACGTCAGGGACATTCTGCAGCGAGCTGCTTCCAGCTACAAGTAAGTGTGTGGATTAAGTCATATGTTATTGTAGTCATTCCATCTGAAATTATCACATTTTTAGAACTGTTTCTGCTCAACTAGCTTTGATTTGTCTCATATTTTAACAGCATAAATTGTGGATATAACAAAAATAATACAACAATGAAAATTAAATGTTATTGTATGCAAAAGTTGAAAAATGCATATTTGTAATGTCCATCCATTTCTTTATCCTCTGTAGGTCGTGAAGAACACAGACGACAGCCACTTGCCCACCAGCCATTATAATATTTCTTTTCTTTTCTTTTTAGTTATTTAGTTAGGTAGTTCTTTAGTTAGTTCTTAGTTATTTTGTATTTTCTTTAATTAGTCCTTTGGTTATTTAATGAGCTCTTTAGTTAATTATTTAGTTATTAAGTTTGTTCTTTAGTTAATTATTTAGTTAGTTCTTTAGTTACTTAGTCATTTATTTACTTATTTCTTTCATTTAATTATTTTTTTTGTTAATTTTTGTGTTTTGTTGTTTATTGTACATATTGTACAGATATTATTTTATATTAAACATTGAAACTTATATAAAATCATGAAATATGGATTTTTGTCATCATCCTTTTTTATGTCACCAAAAACTCTGATATCTTTATGGATTTCATATCTTTGGGTTTTCCTCAATGTGAGGAATATATTTTCCTGAAATACTTTTTCCACATGTGCAAAATCTGTGGGAGTGATTAGCATCCATGGTCCACACTGTCTCCAAGACTGTTGTTGTGGTTGGAGTTTGTAACATTTAAAATAAGGTGTAAAAAAAACAATTTTTCTCCCACTACATTCTCTCCATTTAATAAAAATTGGTCAAGAATGTTGTGTTGCCCACAATGTGGTAGAGATGAACTGATGAAGGAACATCAGAATTCAGACTTCAGCAGATGATTGTAGAAGGTGTTTTTTGTTGTTGTTGTTGTTGTTGTTGTTTTTTTAATCTTCAATAATAGATTTTATACTAAACACTCAATGAAACTCATTCATAAAGTAACATTGCAATCATCCTGCTTTTTTTTTTTTTTTTTTTNTGCCTCAGTGAGATTTACACTGATGCCTCAGAGATCTTCTCACCACCCAGCAAAAGGAGAAGGCTCTCTAATGAAGTGACGCCTCACAGTGGAATCTCCCCGGCTGTCACAGCCTCAGACTTCTCCTCCTCAGTCGACAAGACACCCGTCAAAGCAGCTGAGACCCCGACCAAAGTCTGGCTCATCGGGTCCAGCTACATCCGACGAGGGGAAGAGGCAGCCAGACGAGAGTTTGGGGAAAATCTTGGCCTTAACACCAAGGCCTATTGGTTCGGCAAGGGTGGCCTGAGATGGAACGGCGTCATTCCCTGTTTCTACACTGAGCTGGCCACGCAGACTCCCCCTGACATTTTGGTGGTCCACGCCAGAGGGAACGATCTGGGGCTCATGTCTCCGAGGGTTCATGCCACTATCATTAAGGAAGACCTGGTGCACCTCCACAATGCGTTCCCCTATATGGACATTGTTTTTTCCTCCATCAACGAACATAAGGCCTGGAGATATGGAGACGCTGTAAGCATCAATCGTGACTGAAATTGTCAATGGGTGCATCAAGGAGTCTGAGTTACTGAGCACCCTTCCCTAAGACACTTTAAAAAAGTGTTTCTTCCAGATGAGGTGCACTTTAACCGGAAAGGAAACAGAATTTTCCCTGATGAACATCCAGAATGACGTCAGGGACATTCT